GAAGAACGAACGTGAATTATTCTTTTCTATTTTTGTTTTCAGAGATTTGGACAAAATGAAGGATGGAATAGGCGAGAAACTCGGTATCTTTACGTATTTGATGGTCTCCTTTATATCATCAATCATTATATCCTTCATATACGGTTGGAAATTGACATTGGTTGTGCTTAGCTGCGCGCCAATTATCGTCATAGCCACTGCTGTGGTAGCCAAGGTTCAAAGCTCCTTAACAGCCCTCGAGTTGGCTGCGTATGGACAAGCTGGAAGCGTCGCTGAAGAGGTCCTTGGTGCCATCAGGACGGTCATAGCCTTCAATGGCGAGCAAAAGGAGGTCGACAGATACGCGGAGAAGCTTTTGCCCGCAGAAAAAACAGGCATCAAGAGAGGAATGTGGTCTGGCGTTGGAGGTGGTGTCATGTGGTTTATCATTTATCTCAGCTATGCCCTCGCTTTTTGGTAAGTTACTTAAAACTGTCTCATTTGATTGATGTTTTATCCTTTTGATCCTCTGAATAAATTGACAAAAGTTAAAATTAATTTTATTATATAATATTTTTGTTCAAAAATTATAATAAATTATTATGATATATTTTTATATAAATGAAATTACGTCACGATTCATTGAATTCTTCCTCTTCTTTTTCTTTTTCTTCTTCTTCTTATTATTATTATTAAAAATATTTATAACTACATTTTATACCGATATATATATATATATATATGTATATATATATATAATAATGTATTAGAAAATTACGTTAACATTTTCTCGTTAAAATTGATGAAAGATATTGATTACTCTCATTAATGGATTATGTATTTACGTGGTAAAATATTTGTAAAATAATACGCAAAAGAAATCGTGTACGACGTGTACGATATGTCGTGTGTACGATTTGTCATATAAACTTCGTATATAAAAATCGTATTTTTATTATAAGATTACGTGTTATACGAGGAAAAAGAAATGACGTCAATGTACTGTTTATAAACATAGACTAGATCTAAGATCTATATAAATAATTCTTGGAATCGGTCGTTGGACTGTTTTGTAAACAAAAGATATGGAATGGAATTAGAGTTGAATTCAGTCGTCCTTCGTCTGTCGATCTATCAGGTATGGAGTCCAACTAATTTTGGAGGATCGTCCGAAGGAATACAAAGAATATACACCGGCCGTCTTGGTGATAGTATTTTTTGGTGTGTTGGCTGGTGCACAAAACATGGGTCTCACTTCACCACATTTAGAAGCCTTTGCAGTGGCCAGAGGATCAGCTGCTGCGGTATTTCAAGTACTCGACCGTGTACCATCCATCGATAGTCTTAGCAAGGAGGGTCAGAAATTAAAATCGGTTAGCGGTGATATAGAATTCAAAGACGTTCACTTTCGTTATCCAGCGAGAAAGGATATCCAGGTGTTGCAAGGTTTAAATTTGAAAATAAAACATGGAGAGACCGTCGCATTGGTCGGTGGCTCTGGATGCGGCAAATCGACGTGTTTACAACTCATTCAAAGACTTTACGATCCATTGCAAGGACAAGTAAGTAATTTTATTTCCTTTTTATTTAGTTACTTTTTCCATCCATTTTTCTTTTTCCCATATACATTTCGACTTTATAAGCTTTCTTTAATAATCGTAATTTCTTTCGCTTCGATTTTGACATAAAAAATCATTTTCTTTTCTTTCTTTCTTTTTTTCCTTTCCTCTCTCTTTCTCTCTCTCTCTCTCTCTTTTTCTGTAACTATAATTTCGACTTAATGGAATTTACCGTTAAAACGCGTATTCATACGAATCCCTCGATTCGCTTTCGTAATATCGAAAACTTTCGCGGTTCGCTAATTAAAAGAAAAATGAGGTCGGGGAAGAAAGAGAGAAAAAGAAAACAAGTGAGTGAGAGAGAGAGAGAGAAAGAGAGAGAGAGAGACAGATTTAATCCCTAAAGTCTTTTGGATTCTGTAGATTCGAGAAGTTTTCTGAAAGGGGAGGGAGGGGCTGTGGCACAGCAGGCTCGGAAAGTTTTTTTATTTGTATGCCAGTGTGTATTACGTAATTACCAAGTTAATTTCTTACCACTCTGACATTTTTATTATTCTTAGAAAAATTTTTCTTTGCGCGTGATGATTTCGAAGTTTTCTTTTTTTTTTCTTTATGTTTTTTTTTTTTTTTTTCTTAATGCACGCGTGCGTTCGAGTGACGTATTTAAAAGAAGAAGAAAGAAAGAAAGAAAGAAAGAAAGAAAGAAAGAAAGAAAACAATTCAGTCGCAAAAAATTGATACATTACAAAATGATATATCAAAGAAATATTCGTTTTTTTTTCTCGATATAATTTATATTTTTATATAAAGGATAATATAAAAGCAAAGGATAATTATTATGGATATATGAATATTAAATTAAATAACATTAAAAGAAAATAAATATTATAGAATAAAAATGTTATTTCACGTATTTCATTATATTTCGTATATTACGATTTCAATTTTAGGTATATTTAGATGGCGTCGATATATCGAAGTTAAACGTTCAATGGTTGCGCTCGTATATCGGCGTTGTTGGTCAGGAACCAGTACTCTTTGACACGACAATACGAGAGAACATCCGTTACGGAAATGACAGCGTTACCGAAGAAGAGATGATCAAAGCTGCCAAGGAAGCGAACGCTCACGACTTCATCAGCAAACTGCCGGAGGTAAGCAACCCACCAAACCCTTTTCTGCTATTCTACCAACACACCGTTGCTTTGCTAAAAATTTTTCGTTTCCTTCCTTTGTCGTTTAAAAGGAGAATAAGGATAAAAGAGTTGAACGTACTTTTTCCTTTTCCTTTTCTTTTTTTTCCTTTTTTTTTTCTCTTTTTTTTCTTTTTCGTTTGATCTTCATATTATATTTCGGAATATCGATTAGACGCAACAACGCGATTCCTTTATCTTCTTTTTCTTTTATTCCTTTGCGTTTTTTTTTTGTTTTCCTTTTTTCTTTTTTTTTTTTCTATGAGTAAAACTTTCCCATTTTAATTGGAAATTAATGAGATTATTTATTTATACTGGGTAGAAAATTTTTAAAATTTTTATTTCATTCAATTTAACCTTTTTCTTTTTTGATATATTCAATTGGTACATTCAATAAACAAAACAGAGCTGTAATATGCCGTAAGCGAGTTATTACTAATAACATTTATAAATATTTGACGAAATACCGTATTTATTAATGTTTTATGTATATATATATATATGTATATGTATACATGAATTTGTGTTACGTACACGTTGTATTATTTATACATTTTCCAATTCGTTCGTCCATTAGTAAACCTTTCGTGGTATAATTTAACCTCAATTCTTATTAAATATAAGATTAGTAAATTTTATTGGAAATATCGATAACGAATGAAAAGAGAGCAGTACGTCGTATTCAATGATTTATAATTTGTTAATAAAAATTCGGGATAATAGAATTTCTTTTTGTTTTTTTTTTCTTTCTTTTTTTTTTTTTTTTTTTTTTTTGTTTTTTTTTATTTATGCATGATGCGATAATTATGAAATAAATAAAAAGATTTATTTGTTGTGGAATGAACGAATTGTCGACTATCGATCTTCGACGTTTATGTATTATTACACGTCGAAATCTCGTCTATATATTTATGCGCATGATGTGCTGCATGTATGATGTATATATGCATTAACGATAGTCTCAGGTGTTAGAACGATCCGCAGAACGCTCGCGTAAACAAGCGATAAAATATCCTCTAGTATAACACATTTCGTCTGCAAATAACATTATCCGAGATTACGCCCGTGTCAACGATTAGGCGTTTATTACCGAATTATCGCTAGTTGAATTCGCCATTTCGGGATAATTTCGTCGGTAATCTTCGTTCGTATTCCGCTTACGTTCATGTTTTAGCTAAAGCAGATTAGATGCATGGTTAATGTTTCTTTTTTTTTTTTTTTTTTTTTTTCTCCCGGATTTCTCATTGGTTATCGAACTAAAATTTACTCGAAAACAAAATTGAAATTCAAAATTCGAGGCTCAATTTCGTTATCGTGTTTTCTCTCTCTCTCTCTCTCTCTCTCTCTCTTTCTCGTACGATATAATTACATCTTTTCGAATATTAATAGAATGCATGTTTTCTCGAATCAATAAAATATATAAATCAACATAACGAATATATACCAAGTTTATTTTATATTTTAATATGTCGATTTATTATTATCAGGATTATTATAATATATGTATGTATTATTATGTATATATTATATATCGATAAAAGAAAATCGTTTGAAAGGTGTGCTGAGCAATGAAATGTATTTATAATTATATTGTATAGAAAAGTCCATAAAAAGCGTTATTAAAATTTTAATAATTATTAATAATCAATGTAATATTTAAATGAAACAAAAGGAATTCGAATATTCTTTTAAATTTAAATAAGATTAACATATTTTATATCTATTCGTTTATATTCTGTTATATACGTCAATCAAAGTCAATCAGTTTACAATTAACAAATATTATAATTTTTGATTTTCTTTTTTCTCCCTTCGTGATGAACGTGGCGATGGTGTTGCGTCGATAAAAAAAAAGAAAGAATAAAAAAAAAAAAAACAAAAAAAAAAAAAGAAAGAAGTAAAAGAAAAACAAGTATCGATATCGGTTGAAATCCCTGAAATGACAGGAGGAATGGGTGAATATTCGTGGGGTCTCACAGATGCGTCCTGCAGTTTCCTCGTTGATTAAATAACCATTATTCCGAACCGCAAATCGTTGGCAAAGCTGGATAGAAAACGATCGACGATACCGATAGCCTCGACGTCGAAGCTATCGCACGCGAGCGATTACGAATGAGCATGGCGTGGTCGAAGATAATTCTCATGGATCTATGAGTCTATTCTATTTCCGTTTCCTTTTTTTCTTTTTCTTTTTTTTTTTTTTTTGCTTTTTTTTTCTCTTTTTTTTTTCTCGTCTAAACAAGAAAACAAAATCGACCTTTTCGATGAAAATAAAACTTACGTCGCTCTAAGGGATACATCGATCGAGAATCATGTTCTTTAACTTTTAAATCTGATAATTTAAATCGACCAATTAATAAGATTATTCGTTAATTCGTTAATAAGATAATATTAATTTTATATTTTGTAAATATTGAAAAAAAAAAAAAAAAAAAAATATTGAATAGTGTGTTTCGAATTGTTCGAAGATTGAAAATTTGTTTCGTAGTTAGAATAATTATCTTATGATTTTTTTTCTTTCTTTTTTTTTTTTTTTTCTTTTTTTTTTTGCACACTTTATCTTCTTTCAGGGTTATGATAGTCCTGTAGGAGAGAGAGGTTCCCAACTATCAGGTGGGCAAAAACAAAGGATCGCGATCGCACGTGCTTTGGTCAGACGACCAGCCATACTTTTACTCGACGAGGCTACTTCCGCGTTGGATCTTCACAGTGAAGCAACCGTTCAGAGAGCACTTGATGCTGCTTCGAAAGGCAGAACGACCGTTATCGTGACTCACAGACTCTCTACTATCACTAACGCCGATAGGATCGTCTTTATCAAGGATGGCAAGGTTGTTGAAGAGGGTACACATGAGGAGTTGCTGGCACTTGGCAAACATTATCACGGATTGGTCGCAGCTGATGCCAGTGCTGCTGCCAAAGGTATTAGAAATTTCATTTAAATATCATTATATATATATATGTTTGTCATTAAAAGGAGAAGGAAAAAACAAACATTACGATTTTAATTCTTTAATACTTTTATAAAGTAATTAATTTTATAAGCCATTTTCATATCGCTCGCTTTTTTTAATATCTGTATTTAGACAATTTTATTTTATTTGAAAATCGTCAAAAAACTTTATTGTTCTTACGTATATTCGAATTTTTATAAATGTTTTTTCTTTCTTTTATTTTTTTTTCCAATAAGTATTTATAATAACATTTGGCACAGCACAATTATATCGGTATAAATGATATCAAGAAAATTTTGAAAATGATATTAACAAAATAGGATTAACAATTGAATATGTTTTATCCATTTAATTTGTTTTTGTAAAGTTTAAATAGGTATTCGTCTATATAAGAATTCGTTTCTATTTCGTATAATTCGAATTTATCTTCATTACCATAGTAGGATAATCTAGATGAAAATAATGGAAGCTTAAACTTAATTCTTTTACGTCCACATGTTTCCTTGTTAGAAAATAAGAAAGGATTTGCGTAGGAATAACTGTATCTATGTTTTTGCAACGTCGGTAACTAAATTAATAAGCTGAATTGCTATTTTAATAACATTTTAATTAGTCACCAATTTCCAACGTTGAATGGACAGATCCCCTTCATTGTACGAGTACCATCGGAGAATAAGTTCTCAGATCCGATAACGAGTTGATGAATTTATTAAGAATGAAAAAAAAAAAAAAAAAATATAGAAAAGGAGATAGTATTACCGAGCGAGAAAGTAAAGTTTAACTTAATTAATTGAATTAATTTATCGATAGGAGAATTTGTATTTTCGTGTTGTATAAAAAGGAACGTCCCATTAATATTTTTTTTTTAGCTAAGGCTACGGCATCCGCAGCGAAAACGGTAACAGCAGCGAAACCTAAAACCCAGAAGGCTCCATTGAAGAGACAATTTTCGACCCTATCTATGCACTCCCATCGGTTATCACTAGCAGGTGGGTCCGATGCCGGCTCGGATGCTGGTTTGGAGGAGCACGAAAAACCGTACGATGCACCGATGAGTAGGATACTAGGGTTGAACAAAACGGAATGGCCTTTCAACTTTATAGGTTGGTACTTCGTCTCCTTTCTTTCGTGAGATTATCGTGTCAGGGCCGATCGATCGGTTAACTTTACGACGACTTACACGGTTATCGGTATGGAGGAGAAGGCTCTTTTTTTGTGATTTATCCGACGAGTATACAATAATTTTTCTCGTCAAAAAGATAAGAGAAACGATTAACGTGCGTTGTAAAAGAAAATGTAGAAGAGGGGAAGAGGATGGTCTAAAATTTAGGGTATCTTTGAAAGAGCTGATTGGAGCACAATGCTCATATAAATGGGACATTGCAAGGGACATTTATTCACCGGCAATACTTCGCATCCCTGAGCAACTTATCCAGACGACGTAAATGTTTTTTACGGCATTACGAAGTTACTTTCCAGTCCCCCTTCCTCTCTCTCTCTCTCTCTCTTTCTCTCTCTCTCTCTCTCTCTTGTCAGTTTGAGAGAAAATTTTCATTCGGTAAAAAGGAAAGAAGATGGAAACAGTTTTACGAGTTAAACGGTCTCCTTTCCTTTTAGGATGTTTAGCAGCTGGGACGGTAGGAGCATCATTTCCAGCATTCGCAGTCTTATTCGGTCAAGTTTATTACGTATTGGGTCTTCAAGATGAAGACGAAGTTAGAAGAGAGACGGTGAACTTTTCGGTGCTTTTCATCATCGTCGGTGTGATAACCGGTATAGGAACCTTCCTACAAATGTATATGTTTGGTCTATCTGGGGTCAGGATGACAACAAGGATCAGAAAGATGACTTTTGGAGCTATGTTGAAACAAGAAATGGGTTGGTACGACGAAGAACAGAACAGTGTCGGTGCGCTTTGCGCTAGATTATCTTCGGATGCTGGAGCCGTTCAAGGGGCTACAGGAAGTCGAATAGGTGCCATACTCCAAGCACTTTCAACTTTGGTTCTTGGCATTGGATTGTCTATGTATTATACCTGGAAGATGACTTTGGTATCGGTAGTTTCTATTCCATTAGTTCTTGGTGCTGTCTTTTTTGAGGCTAGGATCATGAGTGGACAGGGACTTCAAGAGAAGAAAAAAATGGAAGCGGCTACGAGAATAGCGATAGAAGCGATATCGAACATCAGAACGGTTGCGAGTTTGGGCAAGGAGACAGCCTTCTTCAATCGATATTGCGTCGAACTCGATCATGTGGCGCAAGCTACCAGGACGAGAAACCGATTGAGAGGATTGGTCTTTTCTTGCGGTCAGACTACTCCCTATTTTGGATATGCTCTAAGTCTCTACTACGGTGGTTACTTGGTGGCAAGAGAGGGTCTTAATTATCAAGATGTCATCAAAGTATCGGAAGCACTTATATTCGGTTCCTGGATGTTGGGACAGGCATTGGCTTTCGCGCCGAATTTTAACACGGCCAAAATCTCTGCTGGAAGGATCTTCAGGCTATTGGATAGGGTGCCAGAAATTTCTTCACCACCGGGATCAGAAGGAAAAGATTTGGATTGGGTAAGAAACAGAAAAAAAAATAAATAAATAAAAAAATAAAAAAAATATATTACTATTAATAATTTTTGTACTCTTTAAATATTTTAATCGTTTATAATGCAATTTTTTTTTTATTTCTGCGTATAAAAAAAAAAAAAGAGAGAAAAAAAAGAAGAATGAAAAAGAAAAAAGAAAAATTTCAATATACCTATAACGCGAGAATATTATTTGGAATGAACTTACATTCGTATTACTTTATACTTGGCGAACATTAATCTTTGAATATAAAGTAATTTTGTGACTGAAGGAAATTAAATATGAATGAAAAGAAAAAAAAGAAAAAAAAAAAAAAAGAAAAGAAACAAAAAAAAAAGAAATAAATGAATAAATAAATAAAAAGAAGATAAAAGAAAGAGAAAAGAAAAATTATACAGATATATGAGTTTGCAAGTCGAAAGTTAAATGGAGAGTTCATAAAAATAGTTGGAGTATAATTTGTTTCGAGTCTCTTAAGTGACTTCGCCTTAATTAAGCTCTGGTCGGTCAAAGTCGAGACGCGTATAAAATGAGGGATCGTGGTCGTCTGGATGAAAGTTTCGAGTTCCCTTCTTTCTAACGGTGGTCCGAGAACTTTTGGTTCCCTTTGAACGTCAAACTTTTCTATAAAGCGATCGTCGAAGAATTTTCTAAATTTATACGAAAGAATTTGATCGAGCGTGACGTCGAACCGTTCACGTCGAAACATTTTTGGTTTATACTATGCGAACGCTTTTACGACGTGTCAAAAATATTTCTCAGCCTTTAATACGCGATGAAAATGTTGCCCGATGATAACATTACGTATAATGGCGCGAATTTAAGTCTTTTAGACGATCATTTATTTTACGTACGTTCATATAAATCATATGATGTACGGTGTAACGAAAATTTGCCAATTATACTACCTGTTGCATTTAATTCGAGGAAGGAACATTATTATATATATATATATATATAGAATCGACATTATTTATGAAATTAACGATAAAGTTTAATTTTGTATTCCGTTGTTAGGAAAGTTTATTAAAATTTGATCGGTATGCATGATGTATATTAAAATAATTAATATTTTAACGTTATGAGCTAATGAAGATAACAAAGACAAGATACGTGAAGAAGAATGAGAATGACAATGGTAACGATAACGACAACGACAACCTTTTTCATTTATAATTGCAGAAGGCAGAAGGACTGATACAATTTTCAAAAGTGGAATTCCATTATCCAACGCGCCCAGAGATGCAGATACTTCGTGGTTTGAATTTAATAGTGAAGCCAGGTCAGATGGTTGCCTTAGTTGGTCAAAGTGGCTGTGGAAAGTCAACCTGTATTCAACTACTGCAACGCTTGTACGATCCAATCTCCGGGACGATTACTATGGACCGTCGCGACATCTCCTCGGTTTCACTGGCCTCACTTAGATCTCAGCTTGGCGTTGTAGGTCAGGAACCCGTTCTCTTTGATAGAACCATAGCCGAGAATATCGCTTACGGCGACAATTATCGACGAGTTCCGATGGACGAGATCATTGAAGCCTCCAAGAAGTCAAATATTCATAGTTTCGTCAGTTCGTTGCCATTGGTGAGGATACCATTGGATCTATATATTCAATGATTTAATGAAAAATAAAAGAGATCATTAAGATTTTATATTCTATTTTATATATTATTCCTACACGTTTCTTCATATCGTGTATCATCAAGTTAAAATTAATCGAATTTTGGCTCACGTCCTAAAGTTTCTCATAGAAGTCTACGGTATGCAACGTGTTATAAGTTAGCTCGTTCTCCTCTTTAGGGTTACGATACGAGACTAGGATCAAAGGGTACACAGCTTTCAGGAGGTCAGAAACAGCGCATAGCTATCGCGCGTGCTTTGGTAAGGAACCCACGAATCTTGCTCTTGGATGAGGCAACCTCAGCTCTCGACACTCAAAGCGAAAAGGTAAGATATTCTCTTTCTCCATCTCTGTCTAACTTTCTCATAAGATCTTAATCTTTAGTAAAGGAGATAGAGGTAGACGGGAAATATAATTTCTCTTTCTCTTTCTCTCTCTCTCTCTCTATATATATATATATATATATATATATATATATATATCTTTATCCAAGAGAAATACTCCAATCGCTGATTTAATTAAGTTGCTTCCAAAGACTCACTTGGCCCTTTATTTTCGTTAATTCATTTCTTTTTTTCCTCGTTCTTCTTCTTACGTCGACGTTTTTAAATAGTCATACGATTTTGAAGTAGAATAAAAAAAAGTGATAATAATAGCGAGGTCAAGGGACGATTTAAAGGTCAAAACATTGACATATAATATTCCTTCACGGTTCTTTCCTTTTCGATTATATTGCCGAAAGGATATTTCAAAGAGGCATCTACATCTTTTGAAGTTGAAAGTCGCATTGGATATTGAAACTGAAAGATCCTTTTCTTCACTCTGTAATTTTGAATCGTATTTGCAAGTTAAAGGAGAGAACTCATCTCTTCACATCCTATCGGCGTTAGTAATCCTTACCAATTATAGTTAGTAGGTAAATACTATATATATTGTGTTTTCTTTATTGCGCGTTTAAACTCTCAAGCGTACCTCTTTAAAAGCGTCGTCGAATTTCAATCGAAAGGAAAGAGATTGGCTTTCTCCGTCTTTACTTTAAGGAGACTCGAGGAAACTCGACTGGAAGATGCAATCGCGATACATACTATAGTACATTTCAACTGCGTGCCAAACTAGTCAACATGCAAATGAACTAAAAGTTCGTCTTTGACGAACGAAAGATAAATTTTACGTAGGAATGAAATTTATAAAACGTTCGATAATAATTTTATTAATAGGATCAAAGAGAGGCGAGATTTTCTTTCTTTCTTCCTTTTTTTTCTTTCCACTTTTTCTTTTCTTTTTTTCTTTTTTCTTTTTTTTTTTTTTCTTTTTCAATTAAAGATTTACGATATAAATGATTTTTTTTTTTTTTTTTTTTTTTTTTTCTTTTTTTTTTTTTTTTTTTTTTTTTTTTTTTTTTTATTTTATCCTCGTAATTAATACACATATGCATATATTGTAGTTTAATAGCTATGTAAATGTTTGTAAATAAATTTGAAGAACCGATAAAGCTCTGTGAGTTCGATGAAAAGAATGAGAAAATTAAAAAATCAAAAAGCATAAAATAAAACGAGATCAGAGGAAAAAAGCGCAAAAAGGTAAATTTTTTTGTCAACAAGTAAAGTCGATATATCGACGTGGAAAAAAAATTGAGACATCAACCGCGAAATAGTTTGGATCGAATGATAACACAACGATCTGTGGCAGTTCGCTCGCGTTATCAACCCCGACAATCGGGAATCATTGGCTTTACGAGAGTACACGATTGTTGTTGGTGGCGGTCAATAGAAACGACTCTTCGTAACTTTGGTGTTAGCACGAATTTCACGGTTATATTGTTTCGGAGTTATCGTTTCATGCTGAACTTTGGCCTGGTTTATTTCACCTTCCGTAACGAAAACGAAGAAGCTCTTTCCGATATCGAGAAATGACAAATTTTTATTTTATTTCATAGCGAGAGTAAAAATTTTATTGAATATTTCCTTTTTGCCGGTAAAAAAGAATGAAAAAAATTTTATTCCTTGATCTCACAATATCTTTATATGTGTATATATATAAATTATTTTATTCTAACATATAAAGTTTTATTATTTTGTATGTTGATAGGTAGTACAAGCGGCCCTCGACAAAGCGATGGAGGGTAGGACGTGTATCACCATAGCGCATCGTCTTGCTACCGTAAGAAATGCAGACGTGATATGTGTCCTTGAAAAGGGTACAGTCGCTGAGATGGGTACTCACGACGATCTAATCGCTGCTGATGGCCTTTACGCACATCTACATAATCTACAAGAGACCGCCATGGAATAGATATTTTAGCGCGAGATTTTAAACTTCCTTCCCATTCTATTGTCCCATTAATAATCCCCATTTGTTTTTTCTCTTTCATATATACATATATATTTACATATATACACTTAGGACGAATGAATATTCTAATTTCGAAGGTTTAGATCGAAGGAGAGCTTCGTACAAGGACGAATCGGATTCGCGCGAATTTGAAAATAGAAAAAAAAAAAAAAAGAAATGTTCTCTCAAGACAATGATAATCGATTACTTAATTTCTTAATTAAATAATACATATGCGGCTCCGTCGACTTAACCATCGTTAGGTTTAATCATCGTGAACA